GGATTAAAATTGTGAGATCCTTGAAAGCTTCCACCACAAAATAGAAGAAACTCTTGGATGGCGGTTTTTTGTAGGTGTTGGAACCAAATGCCTCACGTCGGTGAGCAATGTCCTCAGCACCGCCATTGATTCCACCATCCAGGCTGGTTTCCAGGGAAGAAGCTACCCCATTCACTTCGCCAATTTCTTGAAGCTTCTCAAGCTTTTTCTCCTTCACAATGTCAGTGAGAGTGGTCTTATCAATTTTGAAACAACTGTTTTCGGATGGAATTGTGAGAATGACATGAGAAGGAATGGGCGAAACCTCGATTGTTTTCTCTTTGGAAACATGATTCTCGACAAAGGTCAATTGCCATTTTTTGTCGTGTTTGTTGAGGGAGGCAGGAGCATTAAGCAAATGCTCAGTGCAGATTTTGTTTGCTTGGTTGAGAATAGCAGACATGAATTTAGATAAGCAAAGAACAAGAATAATGTGTATATATGAGATGAATTAAAGTAGGAAAAGAAAATCTTTTTGCGAAACAAGAGAAAGAATCAAAGAACAACAGAGCAAGGAGGTGAGTACAATTTGATGCAGGAATAGGATTTCCAGCCCGCTTTTATAGAGCTCCTGCGATGGGGGATAGTTATATATCTTCATCATGAAGCTATATGGAAACTGCTTTCCTGTTTCCTGGAAAGGTTGATCAGAAGGGTTTATTTGCCATCTTTTTAGTTCAGGGGCTTAAGAAGTTGAGGAGCTTAAGAAGGGTTTTTGCCATGTTATTTTGGAAGCGTGTAACCAATTCAAGGCCCACAAATTAACTCGTCTCTCCAAAAAAATCCTAGTACAAATTCGAGGAAACACAGCCATCGCGTCGGTGCCTGACTGCGTTAAAAAACGCATGATACAGCAGTTATTACTATGTATAGAAGAGAATCCAACACCCGCAATTTCAATGGAAACGAACTCGAATTTCTGTGCAATTCCTTTAATCAACCTTTCCAGGAGACAGAAAAGCACCTTCCATGTAAAAGCCTTGGGCTTTGATAACCTTTCCAGGAAACAGAAAAGCACCTTCCATATAAAAGCCTTGAGCCCAATCCGCATGCTATTCTTCCATCAAATTGTACCCACCTCCTTGCTCTGTTGTTCTTTGATTCTTGCTCTCGTTTCCCTAAAAGATTTTCTTTGCCTTCTTTAATTCATCATATATATACATTATTCTTGATCTTTAAATTACTCTTACATTCTGTTCTTCCATCAAATTGTACCCACCTCCCATTCTTCCATCAAATTGTACGCCACCTTCTTGCTTTGTTGTTCTTTGATTCTCGCTCTTGTTTCACAAAAAGATTTTCTTTTCCTTCTTTAATTCATCATATATATACATTATTCTTGTTCTTTAAATTACTCTTACATTTTTTAGC